GATAGATAGATAGATAGATAGATAGATAGATAGATAGATAGATAGATGGAGGGATGAATGGATAGATGGATAGATATATAAAAGGAAGGATGGATAGAAAAATGGATGGATAGATAGATATATGGTTGGATGGATAGATATATAGAAAAAAGGATGGATGGATAGATTATATATGGATGGATGGAAAGCTATAGATGGATAGATGATATAGATTAGATAGATGGATAAATAAGTAGATAGATAGACATAGATGGATAGATGAGAGATAGATAAGGATAGATAGAGATATAGATAGATAGCTGTGGTGAGATACATGGATAGACACAAATATAGAAAGAAAGTCAGTAGAGGTGGAAAAATAGATAATAGAGATGATAGATAGATGAATGGTTGGATACAGAAACAGAGAGGAAAGAGATAACTCAATTTCAATACAATCCATTTCTTTTTTAACTGTATGCATCTTATGTTATCCATTGCACAAACTGAGTCTGAGAAGGGCTTCCAAGGTTTCACCAGACTGACCACCCAAGGGAGCCACAGCACCAAGAAGGTTGAAAGCCCCTGCCATACTTGAATACGAACTCCCATTCCAATGGACCTTCCAAGTGCTACTCCATTTTTGTATCTGTGGCCCTAGTGCCTAGCACATACCCAGGATATAGCTATCTGTGGCAGAAGTGAGAGGCACTATCATTTCCCTAGGGTGTCCTGACTCTGGCCCTTGCTGCCTTGGTTTTTTTTTTAAGTTTTTTAAATTTTTTTACAATTTTTTTTAGTTTTGAACTTAAATACAAAAAGAAAAAAGGACAAAAGAACATTTCTATGTATACAACACAATGCAGAGGATTCAATACAAAAGCATGAGTTTTCATTTCAGACTGTTTACTTTAAAAAAATTATGTAATAAATACTACACATTATTTTCAAAGCTACCCTGATTTCTAAGTTCCCTTCTAAATTTTCTTTTGTCCTTTGCTGTACACTTCTTATTTTTTTTCTTCCTTCCTCTCCACCATATGCTAGAGAAGGCTGCAATTAAACACAAATATGTGTGTGTACACATATATATGTAAAGCTATACTAACTATCCTTCTATTAATAAGTTCTTTCTCTGGAGATGGATAGCATCTTCCTTCACAAGTCCTTTGTTTTTGGTTTGAGTATTTATGATACTCAAGATGAATTAGTCATTCAAAGTTGTTCTTTGAACAATATTACTGTTACTGTATACAATGTTCTCTTGGTTCTATTTCACTCTTCATTACTTTATGCAAATCTTCCAATGTTTTTCTAAAATCAAGCAGCTTAGTGTAGCACAGCAGTGTTCCATCACATTCACATCACAACTTGTTGAACCTCTTCCCAATAATACCTTGCTGCCTTTTTACCCAATGGTGTTTCATTGCTCTTTTGTAAAGCTAGAAGATTGAAATAGACAATCCTTAATCTCTGACTAGCTGCGGGACAAAGAGCAAGTCATTTGGCTTCTCTAGACCTCAGTTTCCCCATCTGTAAAATGAGGGGATTGTGCCAGCTGGCCTTTCAGCCCTGACATTCTATGAGTCCAAAAATGCCCAGACACGTGGTCTATGCAGTTGTCTGGTCAGTCAAGATGAGACCTCAATGCCAACTGAAATTATTCAAGAGGAGGGATCTGATTTCTTCTACTTGGCTGGAAGGAAATGCTAGAGGTTATAAAGAAGGTCAAATTTTGTCTCAATGTAAGGAAAAGCTTCCTAATAACCAAAGGCGTCCCAAAGTGGAATGGGTTGCCTTGCCTCTCTTATTCCTTATCAACAGTTACCTTGGATGCCACCTCTCCCATAAAGCTCTCTTAGATTTCCCCCTCAGAGACATTCCCAATCCTATGATCCTCTGACTGTCCTCATGCAGTTTATCCTCCTCTGGACACTCTCCAGCTTATTGAAGTCTTTCATAAATTATGGCACCCAGAACTGAACACAATACCTCAGGTCTAACCAAGGAAAATCACAGAGAGCCTGCTACCTCCCTAGTCACAGAAACACAGGCTTCTGCAGTTGGAGGGGACCTCCGAGACTGTCTATTCCAACTTGCACTTACCATAATACTTGGCACATAGTAGGCACTGAATAAATGCATGCTGACTGACTGACTTGTACTGACCAAGGATCCTCACTATGACAGCTGCAGCAAGTAGTTACCCAGGCTCTGGTCCAAGACCTCCAGGGACAGGGAGCCCATTTTTCTATTCAATCCAATGAACATTTATTAAGCACCTACTGTGTGTTCAGCTCCTGGCATCCAAAGACTAAAATGAAAGAGTTGCCATCTTCAATCTAGTTGGGGAGGTAGACCATGAACACAAGCATAATTTGAGGTGGGGGCAAATAAGAGATTCAGGCAAAGTATACTGGAAAAATTTGAGGAAGAAATCAAGGAAAACTTTGTGAAGGAGGTGACAACTGAGCTAAGCCTTGATAGGAAATCTGAGGGGCAAGGATACCCATTCCACTTTTGGACAGCTCTATTAGGAAGTTTTTCTTGACATAGCCAAAATCTGTCTCTCTTTGCAACTTCTGACATTTTTTCCAGTCCAGTAGAGAAAGTCAAAACTCTTCTGCTGGACAGTTCATCCTCCAAGAAGCCTTCAACTATTATTCATGTCTCCCCTTACTGTCTAGACCATGTATTTGGGCATTTACAAACTCATATTGTCAGAGCTGAAAGGAACCTTAGTCCCATCTTCCTCACTAGACTGAAAGTTATCTGAGGCTAAAAGCTGTGCCTTATTATTCTTGGAAACTCCTAATACCCATAACTTTGCCCCCCGTTATGTTGGTCCAGTGCTTACAAACACAGGATAGGATGTCTGAACTGAAAGGGACATTATATATAATTTACAGTGCCATAGCTAGTAAGCATCTGAAGCTGGATTTGAACTAAGGTCTTTGAGACAAGGGTTTGACACAAGGTACGGTGATTAGAGTGCTGCGCTCCTTCTGAGTTCATATCTGACCTGAGACACTTACTAACTGTGTGACCCTAAGAAAGTCACTTAACCTTATTTGAGTTAGTTTCCTCATCTGTAAAATAAGCTAGAGAAGGAAATAGAAAACTGTTCCAGTATCTTAGCCAAGAAAACACCAAATGCTATCACCAAAAATCAGACAAGATTCAACAACAACTTCCATATTCAAGGCCCAGTACTCCATTTACTATGCCATCTAGCTGCTACTATACAAATAAATGTGACCTCATGGACTCTCTGAAAGGATCTTGAGGACCCCCAGGGTTCCCAGACTACACTTTGAGAATTACTAATCCATTCCAACCACCTCATTTAACAGGGAGAAACTGAGGCACAAGAAGAAGAAAGGACTGCTCCAGGCTCATATAGCTTACTTATGGCAGTTAGGGCTTCTTAAATGCTAGTTGTAAAAGGTTTAGGAAGCATCACCTCTTCAGGCTGTGGCTGGCTCATGGGCAGCCTGACATAGCTAGAAAGCAAATGTCTGAACCAGTCATTTTTCTTGTGAAGAGTGAAACATGTACATGACCTGGGAACTTGAAGATAGACAGAGACAGATAAGGAAGATAATTCTCCAAGAATCATAACATTTTAAACCTGGAAGAGCACTTGAGAGATCATTCTGGGAAACCCACATAATGGGTACAATAAATCCAACAAAGTTCTCCTGGAACCCTCAGACGGCAGTATAGAATAGTGGGAAGAGCCCAGGAATTGGTGTCAGGGAACATAAATTCAAATTCTAACTCTGCTACTTGCTGTTTGTGTGACCTTGGGCAAACCTCTTAACTTCTCTAGGAGTCAGTTTCTCCATCTGTAAAATAAGTAGACTGAGCTAGATCATCTCTAAGATATCTTCCCAATTCTACAATCCCACGATTCTTCCACGAATTCACTGAAAGATATCAAAGGTATTCCAGCCTACCAATCCACCAGTAGAAATCAGCAGATCTTCCTCCTTAAAAAAAAAGTCAGTTTCAACGATTGCTGCTTTATAATACTATTTAAGATCTGGAATGGTTAGGCCACCTTCTCCTGCATTTTTTTTTCATTAGTTCCCTTGATATTCTGGATCTTTTGTTCATCCAAATGAATCTTGTTATTATTTTTTCTAACTCTATAAGATAATTTTTGGTAGTTTGGTTGGTATGGCACTGAATAAGTAAATTAGCTTAGGTAGAATTGTCATTTTTATGACAATAAAAATATGGCCTACCCATGAGCAACTGATGTTTTTCCAATTATTTAGATCTGATTTTATTTGTGTGAAAAGTGTTTTGTAATTGTGTCCATAGAGTTCCTGGGTTTGTTTTGGGAGGTAGACTCCTAAATATTTTATAATATCTACAGTAAGTTTAAATGGAATTTCTCTTTCCATCTCTTACTGTTGGGCTTTGTTGGTAATATATAGAAATGCCAATGATGTATGTGGGTTTATTTTATAGCCTGCAACTTTGCTAAAGTTGTTTATTATTTCAAGTAGTTTTTCACTTGATTCTCTAGGATTCTCTAAGCAGCAATCATCAAAACTGATTGGTACTGGCTAAGAAATAGAGTGGTGGATGAATGGAATAGATTAAATACACAAGACACAGTAGTCAATGACTATAGCAACCTATCATTTGATAAACCCAAAGACCCCAGCTTCTGGGATAAGAACCCACTCTTTGAAAAAAATGCTGAGAAAACTGGAAAAGAGTATGGCAGAAACTAGGCATTGATCAAAATCTCACACCATACACCAAAATAAAGTCAAAATGGGTTAATGATTTAAATATAAAGGCTGATACTATAAGCAAACTGGGAGAGCAAGGAATAGTTTACCTGTCAGATCTATGGAGAACAGAAGAATTCATGACTAAATAGGAGACAGAAAACATTATGAAAAGCAAAATGGATAACTTTGATTACATTAAATTGAAAAGTTTTTGCACAAAGTCAATGCAACTAAGATTAGAAGGAAGGTAGAAAATTGGGAAAGAATTTTTACAACCAGTCTCTCTGATAAGGGCCTTATTTCTAAAATATATAGAGAATTAAGTCAAATTTATAAGA